TAAGTATTATACTTGCTTGTAATCTTGTATATTTTATAAATTTTATAAAATTTGTCCAATTACTTATAATCTTCCTGGGGGGTTAAGTAAGGAAAGTACAATGTTAAATAAGCAAGAAAAAATACTTTTAAAACTTGGCAATTTCTGATATAATTTTATAAATTGTCAAGTTATACAAGTGATTATAATATACTTCCTAAATTACAAGGTTAAGACATACTTATTAATTTGTGACAGTGTAATATCTGCTTATAATGCTTACAAGTCATTACAAGTGTTTGAATAGCTTGCTTTTGCTTACATACAATTTTATATCAAATAATTAATCGAATATAATTATATTTAAATTATAGAATACAAAAATAGTAAATAATACGCCATTTCTACAGTCCCAACCCCTACACCACCAGCTGCCTCTGCCTCATTCTTCTGTGAGTGGGATTTGTGTTGGACAAGGATGACTGCATTCTCAGGCCGTTCAATGTAGTCTTTGTCACCACGTTTTGGTCGTTGCTCGGTCCCTGCAAGTTGAACTGCGAGTGTGTGTGGAATGAGGTTGAGCAGGTTGTAGAGATTGAGGCTGCGCCTGTGAGACAAGCTTAGAGTGATTAGCAAGTGACAATAAGAGCGAAAAGATGGACGCACTGCGACAGCATGTAGCGAGTGTGGGTGGGTCACCTGGATTGGAAATCCAGAGCGTTGAGCGAGCTAATTTGGGCTGCAGGGGAAACGTGTCTGTGCAAGCACGTTGCATGCTCTAGCTACGACGCGACGCGCAATCGGAGGTGCAGTGAACTCAGTAATAGTTGTGGATGACTTTGAAGGTGTATCTCTAGGACGTTCTGGCTCGAAGGGAGAGGATGAAGTGGGTGGTGCGGGCAGACTTGGCTCAGGAGAGGTGAGCGGTGGCTACTGCTTCTGTTATTCAAAATGGTGTCATGGACGGCACTGGGGTATATAAATGCACACGGCGTGGGCCCATCAAGGGTGATGTCAAGCATAGGATGGTAAGTGTGGAAGGAGAGTGTGCAGGGGGTCAGAGAGAGGATTGTGCCTGAGGAGTGGTAATACATGGACATTGTTGCGAGCGCATACTCACCGATTGTTGCTTGCATTGCTGAGCAGGAAGAAGTACACGAATGCATGGAATTATTGAAGAAGTCAGTCAACAATGTGGATGTGCAAATGCGAATGCAAAAAAGAAGGCAAGCATAATAAAAAGGAGGACAACGAAGGAGAGGCAAAGCGAGGAGCGGGAGGGATGAAAGGGAGACAAGAAGTTGGGAGGAGAGGGATGAGCAACTATTGTGCAAGTTATTATGAAGTGGACTGGCTACTTACACTTTACGCTGAAGGACTGTGTAGCCAGCTCAGCCGTGTTGTCACAAGATCTGAGGCTCAGCACAGGCATTGCAGTGGCAGATTAGAGAGACAAATCCAGCAACCTTTGTTGTCTAGGCAGTTGCAGGCAGTGTGCCTGCTGGAGGATGCTTGTAGGCAGAGGACTGGCCTAGAGAGGACAAAAGAGACAACATAGCATTGGGGGAAGAGGGTTGGGGAGATGATGGAGGTAGGAGGAAAAGGAGTGACGAGAGCAAGTGCGTCATTATATGCTCTCGATCTTTGGTACTCGATTATGTAATCACTTCAATATATTGTTTAAAGTTAAAAACAAATTATATTATAAGTCTGACAGAGTGATTGTTAACATTATTAATATATATAATTGTATATTATCTTACTAAAAGTATTGTAATTAACTTACAAGCACAACATATTACTTTTATGACTATTATAATCAATCAACCATTGTTACAAATAACTTAGAATATAATTTTAGCATATTATAATAGGAGTTGAGTACTTGTACCTCACATGTAATGTTGTAATAATACTATTAGTAAGCTTACTTACTCTAAAACATGTTTGTAGTTTAATAGAAACTTTGTATATTTCTTACATTTATATACAATCATTATAATTACATTACAAGTGAAATACAAGTATTATTTTAGAATGTAATGCTTATGAAATCATTTTATTAGTTTACTTTTGTCTATTATTAAATAC